TACATACACATATATATATATATATATACACACACACACACACACACATATATATATATATATATATATATATTTGTATTAGTATTTTCAAAAATAAAAAAAAAGAATCTTGGGCTCAGGGAAACATAAAAGCACAGACTTAACAAAGACGAGATAAAAGCTTAAATAAAGCTCAATATGATATATCGGAAACCAACTCAATGTTTTAAAACTGTACCTTCTTCTTTTAAACCAAATGTTTTCAACACTTAAACATCATTTTTTTAACACTTTTGACATTTTCTTGATACAAAAATTCCCAAATTCTTCAGATATAATCTACCATTTATTATCATTGAACTTATACATTATATTTCTCTCGATGGCAATATTTTTTTTTCAAATTTAAAATTAAAATTAAGACACTTTAAAGTATTATAATCTACCTACAAAATGTCCTAATCTACTCCACTATCATTTTTTAATGATAATATATATAATAGCAAATCTATGTTAAGAATATTTACCCCCAAAATAATCGATTTGTAATCCAGTATAATTTTAGGTTTTGTTGCCTCAATATTTAAAAACCCGTCCATTGGTTTTACCCTATCACAGTCAAACAAATGATGCCTCTGTGCATATTTCAAAATAAACATACAAACTTTTTCATAATCTTCATACGAAAAAGTCTTGTATTTGTCACAAGGTAATTAAAACCTAGAATATTGTATCTTGGCAACATTTGAATGGCTAAGAATAAATATAATTCCACTCATTTTCATTTATATTTGATTCATCATTGTATGTTGATTGGAAGGTAGTGATTCAATAAATCAATGAATTAATACAGTATTTGATAAATTGTTTTTGTTTTCATTCTTCCATCCTGATATATTTGGAGCCGTTTTCTTGTACAATAATTTCTATTAAACCCTGACTCAGTGTCCTCCTCCATTTGGGTGGAATTTCAGCAATCACACATCTCCATTTAAAGAAACAACTGTTCGTATGCCTCGTACATTATCATTATAAAGATCGCTGACCAATTCCATGAGCAAAAAATAGAGAGACATAAAGACAGGGTTTGCCATTTATTCTAATGTTCCAAATAACATTAACCTCGTCAAGTTTGGTGAATTCAAAGTACGCTACAAACATGCCTTTATGAAATTGTAGAACATTCCTTAATGCACACACCTTGTTTGTTTTCATATTACAATTAAAAATTATACTTCCACCATATGGAAAGTATTTAAAAGACCTTTCCAAGAAGGAGTATTATATTTTATAACAATTTGTTCATTGAATTTGTATAGCTTTTAACATAGAATTAATATCAACCATTTTCAGTCCTCCATGCTCCATGTTACTAACAAGCACTTTTAATGAAACCCTTGCCACCTTTCGACAAAAAAGTACACATTTTTTTTAATTGGAGAGCGTATAAAAGCGGCCGAAGAAATAAAGTGAGAAAGCCCAAACCTTTTAATTAGAGGAATATTACCTGACAGAGTCAACTGTTTAGTTTTCCAAATATTTAAGATTTTATTTAACTCTTAGCAGCTACATAACTTATACGAAAAACACGACTAAATCTATTTCTCTTTTCAAAATCTATTTGTCTCAACCACATTGACTATGGCTTACTTGCATTAAATTTTAAGCCCGAGACACTCCAAACGATTATGCACGGATTGTTCATTTGTAAAGTACATGTTGCATCATCTGCATATAAAAAAAGTATTTCAGAGAATAACATAGAGATATAATATATCTCTATGTTATTCTCTGAAATACTTTTCATATCTGCATCCCTCAGAATTTCACAAGATAAATTGCTAAAATATGAAAATACGGACTCAAAGAATTGTCTTGTCTAACCCCATTGGGAAGTAATTGGAGTTTGTGCCATTATTAACGCAACTGCTAATATTTGTGTACAAGATATAATAATCAGGAGCGGATTTCGGGGGTGGGGGCGGGCCGTCCCACTTTTTGAAAGTTAAGAAAAAAGAAAAAAAAAATAAAGAAAGAAAAATAAATAATTGATCGACCAAAACGCCTATGAGGTTAATTTTGGGCGTCTAGAAAACAAAAATTTGGGGGGCATGCCCCCGGACCCCCTATCTATAGTTCTGGTTTTGGTTAGGTACTTATCAGCGCCCCTAAAAGGAGCAAAGTGAAAAGGGGTGGTGGTAGCTGAGTTATTGGCTTTTGAGATGGCTGATGACAGCATCCTTGAACTTTTTCTTGTCTTGGATTGCAATGATATGCTTGGGGAGTTGCTTCCAACTTTTTGTGAAAGAGGACATGTCCTTCATTTAGCCTTTTATTTAAAATATAATTTAAAAAAAATACCAATTATATTCGAGAATCTCAAGTACCATTTGCAGGGGATTCCATCATTACCCGGAGATTTACTTTTTTACATATTACTGGAGGGCTGAAATGCAAGTTACGATAGCGCATCGTTTTTAGGTCCTGAGTTTAATGGTCCTGAGTTTTAGCATAAATCCAACTCTACTCTTTGTGAGCGCACTATACGACGCGACGCCGTTCGCTGATTGTCGGTGGCAGTCCGAATACCGTACTCGCGCGAATAACGCCCGGGCGCTTAAAATTTTTTTTGCACTTTTTGAGGGGCGCTTATTCAAACGGGGCGCTTATTCGAACGGGGCGCTTAAAAAAACAGAGGGAAAATTGAGGGGCGCTTATGGAAATAGATGAAAATCGATAGGTAAAAACTATCCGTTGTGCGCGTGTCCTGCGTTGCGTTCTTCATGAGTCAAGTCGGCCGCGACGGTCGGGCGCAGTAAGTACTCGGCTTAAAGAATTTCGACAATAAAGATGGAATTCAATCATATTAGATTATTTTCTAGTCTTATTAATGTTAAAAACAGTTTACTGCAAATCAGGTATAGATAATGGAAGTTCTATGGTGCTTTGCAGCGAATCATGTCCTATTATTATCGTGTTGGTAAACATCGCCAATTAGTGGACTCAGACTTGAAGTCCATAAGGATTTTTAACCTTTCTTAAAATGCGAATAAAAAAGGTTGGCAAACACTATTGTAAACAAATATGCCTATCCGATAAACATCCAATGGCCCTTTTTTAATGATGACTTTTCTGTATTCTGCTTTGATTTTCTGAAGGGGGGGGGGGTTATTGACTATAGAGGAAAGTCAATAGTTCATTATGAAACAATGCCTACAAGAAATCGATAACGCTCTATCATAACATCGTTAAGTAACAAAGCCAAAATTTAGAAACCAGTGGGTATATATTACCCCCTTCAACAAACACTTTTCAAGCTCTGCAGAACATTAAATAGCGAAACGTTTATTAGGCCCTGATTATTCAGGGGTAGTCTGAGAAGGATGAAATATATTATTTTGTGCTCTCTGATTTTAGTCGAAATTCAGTCAACAATTTAATGCAGCTATTTTATGCATATTTTCGGAGTTGCTAGACCAAGAAGGGACCTTTACAAAATATAGGCCTTATAACAAATTTTCACCGGTAGCATAATTGAATTCAACCAACTATAAAGCTAATCTGAACGGAACATGGCTTACACTGCGTAAATATTTCCATTCTAAGAAATCGAAAGCCTTTTTGAATTTTAAAAATAACTTGTTTCCTGGTTAAAGAATGTTGTAATCCACTACAGTATATCAGATAGGGTGCAAATCGATTCCACAATGAATCTTTCTTTCTTTAACAAATCCACTTTGATCATTATGAACCAAATTTGGAATAAAGTTGCAGACACTAATGACTCTAGTTTTATGATTGACGTTTAACAGGGAGATAGCCTCCTGTTTTTGTAAAAGAGGACATGCCCTTCATTTAGCCTTTTATTTAAAATATAAACAAAAAAAATTACCATTTATATTCGAGAAGCTTAAGTACCATTCGCAGGGGATTCCATCATTACCCGGAGATTTACTTTTTTACATAATACTGGAGGGCTGAAATGCAAGTTACGATAGCGCATCGTCTTTATATGATGAGATTAAGCTAAAGTTTTATTAACTTTTAATGGTCCTGAGTTTTAACATAAATCAAACTCCACTCTTTGTGAGCGCACTATACGACGCGACGCCGGTCGCTGATTGTCGGTGGCAGTCCGAATACCGTACTCGCGCGAATAAGCGCCCAGGCGCTTAAAATATTTTTTTGCACTTTTTAGGGGCGCTTATTTAAACGGGACGCTTATTCGAAGGGGGCGCTTATGGAAATAGATGAAAATCGAGGGGTTCTTATGAGAACTTATTAAATCCAAGAGGCACATTTTGAATGAAAAACGATTAAATAAGGACATCAGGAAACCGCAAATTACGAATGGTGCTGCGGCTGTCTCTTATACACATCTAGATGTGTATAAGAGACAGGAGTACAGTATTACATAACAGCAGAATAGCAGATGAAATTAGTGGTGGTGGTTAGCTTGTTCGCCATCGGTCGATTGAGAATAGCAGGAAGGCATGATCATTGCAGGTTTTCTTGAAAAATTAGATGAAAATGTGTTAAAGGTGCAAATTGTCGGAAAAGGAGTAATAGGTCTAGGCTATACAGGCCCGTATCCAGCTTTTTGAATGTGGGGGGGGGGGCTGCGTTTTGCGATCGCATCGAGCAACCAGGCTGGGGGCCAGGGGGCCACCCAGGGCCCTGGTCGGGGTCCAGGCCGAAGGGCCCGGAAAAATTTGCTTTCTTACGTCCTAGTAGACTAATTTGAAGGCATTTTATCATGTTAAGATCTCTATATGTCCGTGAACACAGCGATAGGGCCTATCAAAAAATAACCAGTGGAGGACATGGAGAACAAGCAAATTGGTTCCCAAATGAAAAATACTACTGTATAAATTCGTAACCATTACGAATAAAAATTCAAAATCAATTCTGCTTTTAAATGAATAATAGCAAAGTTTGATATAAAGAGTGGATTAAAAGGACTGTAAATGAGCTGATTCAAACAACTAGAAGCATTTGAAACAAATTAATCAACATTTTTATTCTTGGCATCGACAGAAAACATATACAGAGGTATAAGCATAATTATACTGTATGTATACGCTATCTATCCATTGAACCCGTGACGGGGTATACTGTATAAGGATCATCATGATACGAGTAACGTTGTACGTTTTAATAGCAACATCACTTACATTTTTTATAAGAGCACATTTTATAAGAAGAATGAGGCTGTCGAAATTGCGGAAAAATTAAGAACAAAATAAGAATAAATTAAGGCTAAGTTAAAATGCCACAAGTGAGGGTTTTATTTTTTAGTAGTAGAAAAACCAACAAACCTTACCAGTACCTTATTTGCAGTTGGTGTACACTTACAGTACAGTACTATAATACAGTACAGTAATACACTGCTGTAGAATAATAATAATGTTGTATGTTTAAAAAGTGTGTTAAAATAAGAACAAAATATGAATACTTTGAGTCTGAATCGGCACAAAAAATATAAGAACGCTGAGCCTGGACAAAATTCGAAAATCTGTCCAGATTTCCCAATTTCTTTTATTTTATAAATGATTTTCAACTGGCTAAATAATTATCTTTAATATTAGGCCTATTTCTATTTCTATAGTCCGTGGGTTGACAAAGTCAAAGGACAACATATTAAAATCAATCTATACCTTCAGGACAACCGTGGTCCAGGGACGTAGCCAGGATTTTGAAAGTGGGGGGGGGGCCGTTATGCGAATTACGTAGGATCCCGGCGGGGTCAAAAGGGGGGGGAGGCGAATCCCCATGTGAAGTAGCGCACTCTGAACGATCTTAGGACTGTTTGAAAGGATAAAGTGAAAATTGAATAGACGCATTATAAATAAGCGCAAAAATAATTATATAATAAATCAACAGTGGCAGATCCAGGAATTCGAAAGAGAGGTAAACCAGCTGGGAGGGACATTCACAGACTGAGGAACCACTCTCCTCAGCCCCACCATGGTTGGGGCTGAGGTAAGAAAATTTATGATTAGGACATTTCTAGACGGCCGGAAATTACACTCTCGCACTTCAATTTGAATATGTTTTTCTTTTTTTTTTCTTAAAAAATGAAGGGGTGGGGGCCTTGAACCCAGCTTTGCTCAAAACATTCTTTATCCAGAATAGTCAAAATCACGAAAAATGGACATCAAAAACCAGATCACACCCTAAAAACAAACAGCAGTCACTGAGACATACATCAGGAGCCGACTCGATGGACTTTAATGTCATACCCAGGGAAGGGCACAGATCTGTTTTGAAAGGTGGAGGGGGAGGGCATTTTGTGAGTCGACACCCACCTCAGCCCCCCCCCCCCCAATGGTTGGAGCTGAGGTGAGAAAATTTGAGGAAATAGTACCTCTAGATGGCCAGAAATGACACTTTTAGTAAAATTCATCATTATCACATCACCATTAGTCAATATGAAGCGCCAAAAAAAAAAAAAATTCTCATGATCTTTTATCATGGATTTTTGACAACCATAGAGATCTTATTAATGTGTGTGTGATAACCACAGAAAACAAAGCTTTAAAACATTGTCTGTGAGTATGTAATTTACATAGGCCTACTTCAAAAACGTGATTTCACAACCACGAAGGCCCCAATGAGAAAATTTGAGGAAATAGTACCTCTCTAGATGTCCGGAAATGACACTTTTATATAGTAAAATTCATCATCATCACATCACCATTATAGTCAAAATGAAACGCCAAAACATTTCTCATGATCTTTTATCAGGGAATTACTTAATATCCAGGACAACTTAGGCCTAACTATAGTTTACTAAGCTTTAACTATATATACCTGTACTATATTATGATCAACAAATCACAACTTTTTTTTTTCGCATTTAACACAATTTTCTTCACTTTTTATTGCTATTAATATTACTATCAATTATTACTACCGTCATCATCATCATCATTGTTATTATTATTATTACTATTAGTAGTAGTATTATGAAACAAAAATTTAAAGAAACTTGGAAGAGGATAAAAACGAAATTGAACCACAGTATCGCATTTCTATCTTAAATGACCTGGCATGAGAATTATGGATTTAAGATTTTTTTAAATCACGCTTAGGCTTATGTGTTCTATTAGGCCAATGTATAACGTGTACTGATGCATATTTACATGTTTTAGAAGTATTCATTTTGAGTGATCCTAGGAAAGAATTTGTATTGGCTCAAGAATAAGCTTTAAAATATTAACACTGTGTACAAAGGGGGGGGGGGCTCC